CCCCGAGGGGCAGGAACGGATGGAAGTAAGGTAGTGGACGAGCCAAGGAGGGGCGCCCCAAGTGGGGCCGGGGAAGGCAAGAAAAGCCTACCCGGCAACGGACAGGCAAGGGGCGAGTCCTGCAGTAAGGTAGGCAACCGTTAGAGAGGACCGGAGAGACGGATGCGCGGAGAGAGGGGCGCGCACCGGGTAGGCAGAAGACCCAGTCGGATGAGGAGGATTCGCATAGACGAGGCGTAACAACGGCGAAGGAGGTCGCCGCTTCTGTGGAGAAGCAGAGGCTGGGTGGAGGCGAAGGTGAATGGCAAAGTAGCGACGAGCGAAGTTACCTGTGGCACGAGTCGAACTAGAGGCAACGCGGCGGAGTCTTGGGAACGAGGTAGAAAATATGAATGGTAGGTAAGAGAGTCGGCCTGAGGCTGGAGGCTTACGTTTTCTGCTGTCGATGACTGCATTAGGTTATTTTCGTACTCTCTACTCGATTGCCGTGCGAGCGGCCCACCCGCCCTCCCACTAACAGCCAAATGGCTGATCGGAGTTGTCTTTGAAGGGTTTGGGTACCGCGGGAGTGTGGTCGCAGACGCAATGGCCTTCCCCACAATAAGTTAGTAGTGAGTACGGATCACGCGATGACGTTTAAGCAATGCCGCGAAATTACACATGAGGAAATTGGCGCACCTTGCCTCTTAGTGAACGTCATGCTCTCAAAATTGAGCAATTATGCAGCTTTTGTCCTTTCCTTAATGGGCTTGTCAACGATCGTGTAATGGCAATGGTGTCGCTGCGGGCTCCGCTCTCATGGAAGCCAGGAATTCAGCTTGACCATAGGGAGAGTGGCGATGTCGAGGCCTCAGTTGGCCGGGCAGGGCTTTTGCTAGCCCGCAGACGATGCAATGTTGCCAGGTGTGCTGTTCACCGGCGTACCCGACGCATCCGGGCTAACTCGCGACCTCATGGAGGAGTTTCAAGAGCGGTTAGCGCTTTCGGAGCTTATGGTGCATCTACGGACGCCGGCGACTTGACAGAAGTGATGGACTTCTCGAACAACCCTCTCAGCCAAGCTTGTCGTCGTCTGCGGTTGGAGAGTGCGGACGAGCTACAAGACCTTATCGCGTCCTTAATACTGAGCGAATGTGTATACAAGAAGCTAGAGCTTGACGAGGCAGGCGTCGTGGCCAAAGTCACAGAGTTTGTGTCCAGCTTTCCGCCGGGCTGGGTCGAGCTGCAGGCGGTGCAACTTAGCCTGTCAGGCATCCCCCAGCACTACCTCATCGCGACATCCCCCACCTCCATGTATGTGGCCTTCATGGGCACCAAGCAGTTCCAGGACATCCTCGCTGACGCCAACTTGCTGCACACTCCCGTCTGGGCTGAGTCTGCGCGCCTGGCTGCGGACCGGCAGGTGCGAGCACGCCTTCCCCGTCACACCATCCAACCCGCATGGGGACGACCCGAAACTGCAATTTCTCGTTGTCATCCTACTTCCTAGGGCGTCCGTCCCGTTTTGGGACCTGTCAGAAACGGTTTTCCCGCAGTCGGCTTCCACTGTCTTGGTCATTAAGTGTGCCCGGGGGGATGCTGTCGCGCCCGGGCCTGTCACGGGCCTTCCCGCAGCGGCGTACGGCATCTTAGGGTTTCCCGGTGACCAGACGGCAGCCCTCACGGCCGCCTGGTGCCGTCCAGGACCCCCCAAACCCACTAGCCGTGTCATAACCTACCGTGAATCCCCCACGATTCCCATCCTATCGAGTCGTCGCAATTGGCCCACTCACAATTGGGTCACCTTCAAATTCGGTCGGACTGCGGTGATGTGCACCTGTTCCTCAGTATGAAACACGTACGTGTATAAGCAGCATGTGCACAACACCGGCCCCTTCTTTTCTTTTCGTCTTCTTTGTAAGCTGAAGGCCTGCCTTCCTACTCCCGTCGTCAGACATGCAACACGGCCCCCCCCCCCGCCACCACCACCACCGCTACGTGTGTAGCTCAGTTGTCTTTTTATTATTGTTATTATCTTTTAAAAAAAACATTATTTGATATCTTTATCCTCCCTGGCACAGTCCATTCCGGCGGCGCATCGCGGCTTTCTAGAGCGCGCTCGCGCAATCCATGTGGAGCAGCTGTACGAGCTGGCGGTCAGTCGGGGGCTGCGGCTGGTGTTGTGCGGCCACTCGCTGGGAGGTAAGGCTGTGTGATGTGCGCAGTTCTGCAGTTTGTTGTTTTGCAAGTGGTGCATATATCCTTGAAATGTCGAGATTTGTCTTCTCTCATGGCTCTTCTTCATGGCTGAATTTCCTTGCTGTTATGCCAGTGCTAGGATGCTGCAGAGCGTCGCTCCAACAAACCCCTGCACAAACACTTCTGGCAGCGGGCCTGTCGGTAACCTTTTGGCAAACGGATGGCCTTTATATCCCTTACAAGGATATGTTGGCTGGATCTGCCTTCCTGCCCGGTGACCCACGTAAATAAAACCTGCGGGTCGCTCGCCTTCCCCAACTGCCACCCGTCCCCCACGATCCCACAACAGGAGCTGTCGCCAAGCTCTGCACGCTGCGTCTGCTACGAGAGCTGCCCGACTGGCCGCGTCCGCGTGTGCGCTGCATCGCCTTTGCCACCCCGGCCGTCGGTAACGCAGCGCTGGCGGAGCTTGTGGAGAGCGCAGGGTGGGCCGGCCATTTCGCCACCTACTACCTTCCCGAGGACCAGCTGGTGCGTCTCATCAGCTTCTCCCAGGCTAGGACCTCCCCCGGCAGCAGCAGCGGAGGCACCAGCAGTAGCAGCGGCGGCACCGGCAGTAGCAGCGGGGCTGCGGCTGGTAGTGCGGCTGCTGCTGGTGTCTGTAGGAGGGGCGATACGGCGGCCGGTAATGGCAGCGGTGGCCGCAAGGGCAGCCGTGCCCGTGCGGGGCGGCACCGGAAGGGGAAGGAAGGATCTGGTGCTGGTGCAGGCGTATCGGGTACTGGTGCGGGTGTGGTTGGAGGGGAGGGCATGGGGCTGCTGCCGCCGCCGCCGACACGTGCGGCGGCTGCTGCCTCTGCAGCCGAGCCCGCGCGCCTGGACAAAGCGGCTCTGGGAAGATTGAACACCGCAGCTGCTACAGCTGCTGCTGCTACAGACGTGCAGCAGATGCAGCTGCAGCCGCAGGCACAGCTTCCTAAGCATCTGGCACGCGCACCATCGGCGTCGAGCATCGCTAGCAGCAGCTCCTCAAGCTGCGCCAGCGGGGATACCACCACTAGCAGCACGGACGTGAGCAGCACTGGGCCTAGCATCCGTCGCCACCGCCGCCGCGACGACAGCCTCAGCTTCGGCGGTGCTGTGATGTCGCTGGAATCTCAGAACGACGCGTACTGCTCCTCCGCGTCCTCTTCATGTTCGCCCATCAGTCGGTCTGTCAGTATCGGGGATCGTACCAGGAGCAGCTGCAGCAGCGGCGGCGGCGGCGGCGGCAGTGACGCAGGCAGCCTAACGGGCTACATACCCCTGCAGACGCGGGCAGCAGCGGCGCTGGCGGCGCAGGAGCATGGGCGCAGCGGCGGCGGTGGTGGTGGTGGTGGTGTGGGCCGAATGTCGTTGGTGGAAAGCCTTGATGAAGACCAGGTGGGAGTGGCGTTGGCGATGGAAGAGATCCTGTCGCCTGGACCTGACGAACTGGAAGCAGCGGCCGCAGCCGGCGTGGCGCTGTCGGGCCAGACGCCGATGGACCTGGCGGCAGCGCAACGGGAGGCGTTGTACGGCAACGCTGGCGGCAGCTGGGGGCTGCGGCTGGCGCTGGGGCGGAAGCGGGTTATGAGGCGGCTGCGGCGGCTGGCGGCTAGGGCTCGGATCCCCCTACCTAAGGCTCTGCTTCCGGTGTGTTATCCGGAATTTGCGGGCTGTTGTTCGGCACCTGGGTTACAGTGTACAAATACGGCATGTATGTATCAAGTCCTGCTGGGGATTTTACTGCTGCTTCTGCTGCTTCGGCCACCGCTGCTGGATTGCCTGCCATCGCTGCAGCCTCCTGCCGCTGATGACGCTTTTCATTTTCGGCTTATACACCTACGCATCCATCCACCCATCCGCCCATCCGCCCGCCCGCCCATCCGCCCGCCCAGCTAACTGATCCACCGTTGCTCTCTATGCCGTTATGTCGTGCTGTTACGTAGGTGTCTCGCTATCATACTTTTGGGGCGCAATGGTTTCTGACGGAGCACGGTGCGCTGTCGCCTGAGGAGCTGGAGAACCAGCTGCGGGCACAGCGGGAGCCGGACCAGCAGCTGCAGCAGCTACAGCAGCCTGTCCACCAGCAGCAGCAGCAGCAGCAGGCCATGAGTTCAGTGGCAGGGCCAGCGATGGCAACACCTGCAGCAGCAGGGGCGACAGCAGCAGCAGGAGGTTCAGCCCCACCGGAGGCCGCCCGGGGCTTCTTCTCCTTCCACCGGATGGTCGCCTACAGGTGGGGTTGCGGGCCATTGCGGCGGTGGGGTAGGTAGGTCTGGGGGGTTGGGGGGACTTGTGGCGAATCCAGCTACAGCATGTTCCTGTGGAAAGCGAGGTGAAGGCCACGACTGATGGATGCTGTTCGGTTTTGACGTGACTTTGGAGGCACTTGAAGAGTACGTTAGGGATTAGGGTGTGTGTGCGTGTGTGTGCATGTGTGTGTGTGGTTGCTTAGGAGGGCCATCTTCCTGGTACACGAGAACAGGGTATCGTTCATGATCTTACATTCCCGAACAGTAAAACAAACTAGGAAATGACGATTAAACATTCAGACGGGCTCTGCCCGGGGGACGACGTGCAGGCAACGTTACACCGACCTCATATCGCGGCTCATGCGGGATGATGCTGAAGGAGTAGTAGGAGTAGCTGAGCTGAAGCGTCCACAGCTGCCCGCGGTGACGGCTGCGGCGGCGGCGGCGACAGCTACAGCTGCCGACGATCTGGTGCAGCTACAGCAGGGGGGTGTCCCCCAAGGGGGCAACGCCGCTACTGCCAACATGTCGACGGCGGCGGTGGCAGTCGCCGACGCCATGTCGTGCGCGCCGCCGCACTCGCTGGCAGCGCCGTACACCTGCACCGTGCAGCTGTGCGACAGCTTGCTGCCCCGCATTTCCGTACAGCGCGCCGTGCTCCAGGGGGTGCTGCCGGAGTCCCGAGTAGTGTCTGCTGCCGCCGCCGCCGCCTCCGAGACCGCGCCTGCGGAGGCCTTCCAAACGAGGGCCCATGCCAAAAGCCACCACCAACACCAAGGCGACAGCCTCACGCGTCTGTCGCCAGGAGAGGAAGGTCAGCAAAGTAGCGCGCTAGCAGCCAAACGAAGAGCGGGCTCTTATCCAGCTGGTGGAGATATCAGCAGCAGCAACAGCAGTGGCGGTGGCGGCGGCGGAGGCGCGCCGGCGGGACGCTCTGGGGATGCCGCCGCTCGTCCGCCCGCACCTGTGGCGCCGGTGGTTGGCCACCTCCTCCGCTGGGTGTGGGGGAGTGGCGGCGGAGGCGCGGGCGTGTACAGAAGCCCCGGCAGCGGCGTTGGCCGCGCGCGCGGTAGCCCGGATGAGCTTGTACGTCTGGATCTTGAACTGGAGGGGCACAACTTACAGTACTGTCGTAAAGTCTCTGTGATGCTGGTTCGAGATGGCGTCGTCGGCACCGCCCCGGTGGCTTGTGCTGGTAATGTGAACGCTGATGCAAGTGCAAGTACAAACGCTGCGAGTCAGGCGGGGCCGGGGGCGGGGGCGGCGGCGGCGGCAGCTGTCGGCGGGCAGGTACAGGCGCGTTGGGTGCCATTTCCAGCGGCGTTGGGCGGCGGAAGCGTTGTAGCGGGGGACGGCAGTAGCATTCCAGGTGCAACGGCGGCGGGTCGCGTCGTTGCCCCGAGGCAGAATCAACAGCCCGGTGCGCTGTCCTCGGCGCCACAGCCGACGGCGGCGGCGGCGTCGCAGCTGACGGCGATGACGGCAAAGGCAACAGCGGATATGTCACCTCCTCCGCTGGCGGCTTCATCCCCTGCCGTACGCTTGCCCGGCCACACAAACCCCGGCCCCATGGCTGCCGTGCCGTCCTCCTCGTCATCCGCCACGGCAGTCCCGTGCGAGGTCGTACAAGTCCTGTACGCTCAGCCGTACAGTGACGAGGCCAACCCGCCGCCGCTGCACCCAGTGTCGCTCTTCCGAAACACGTTGCACCACTTCGCCGGCAACTTCATGCGCCGCTGTCGCCCGCAAGGGCAAGGTCAGGACCAGGGCCAAGTGGGATGGGGTAGCTTCGCAAGCCTGGCAGCGACGAGTGCCACGCCAGCCTCCGCGCCGTCGTCGGCAGGCGCTGGCGGCGGCTCTGGCCCCCTCATGGCGCCGGCGGCTGCCGGCATGAATGGCCACGTGGGGCCCTGGCGGCGCTTTCGCTTTCAGCAGCAAAACAATCGGCCAGCCAGCAATAATACCGCTGCAATTACCGAGGGGGTCGCTGGCGGCGGCGTCGGTGGCGGCGGCACCGTTAACGCGCCGCCAGGGCGGCACACCAGCAGCAGCAGTTGTGTCAAGGCTAGAAGCGACGAATGCGCCAGCTTTTCCATGTCGGGCAGGTCTCCAGGCGGCTTCATTGGCGGCATGGCGGCGACTCGAACCGATGGCGCCGCCGCCGCCGCCGCCGCCGTGGCGACGGATGCGGTCGTCGCGATGCCCAGTCGTTTGCTGCTTCGGGTGACGTTGCCGCTATCCGTTGCACAAGGCCTTTTGGATGGCACACTGCCGGCACGTTTGGTAGTGTCCGCACGGAGTGATTTCCACGCGCTGAGTGACGTACCGGTTGCCGTACACCGGCCGCGGGTTGCAATCCTCGGCACGTCGCCTTACGCAGCGTCTCTTGTGCAAGCTGCGCTGTCGGCGCCGGCGGCATTGGCGGCGTCGAGATTGGACGCGCGGCATCCCGCGGGGGGCACCGCCGGCGGCGGCGCCTTGGGCGCCTCCGCCGGCTTAGCGGCATGGGTACCGCCGCCGGTGACGTGGGCGCTGTCTGCCGTATTTAGTGCCGTGGCGACGGCGAATGTCCGTCGGGCTGCTACCGCCGCCGCCGGCGCGGCGGCCGTGGCGAGGGCTGGAACGATAGCTGCTTCACAGGCAGGGACAGCTGGCTCAGTGCCATCGGCGTCGTTGCCACCGCCGCCGCCGCCGGCTCCGGCTCCGTCAGCATCAGCTGCGGGAGCAGCGGCGCCGCTTCCGAGTGCTCGGCCTGGCAGCTCCTTATCTGCTCGGACCCATAACACCCTTGGAACAAAGCCGGGACCGGCGGCAGCCGGCGTGAAGGCGGCGGGCCAGCGAGGCAAGGGAGGTTTTGCACCTTGGTGGATTCGCCTCGCGGCCCAAGGCCGCGTGCTTCGTGTTCGGACCCGCTGGGGGATTCGGCAAAGCCTAGCTGCGGCGGCGGTGGGCGCGGCGGCGGCATCAGCCGCTGGCGCCACCGGCGCGGCGGCGGCGGTGGGTGCAGCGGCCGTCGTCGCGAGCACGGTAGCAGCGTTTCACTCCGACGGCGGCGTGTCCGTGTTTGCGAACGCGGCCGTGACGATGGCGGCGGTCGTGGCGGCCGCAGCAGCGGCGGCGACGGCGTTCACCGGCAGCGAGGTAGCGGTCCTCGTCGCTGCGGCGGCGTCTGCAGCGGCGGTCGCAATGGCCGCCGCCACTTCCTCCGGCGTCGGCATATCCAGCGAGCAGCCTTCGCCTCCGCCGCCGCCGCCACCTATGACGACGCCACAACAGCAACGACCTGCACCGTCGAAGGAAACAGCCACAGCACCCGGCAAGTCTCCCCCAGCGGCATTGCTGCTGCGTGCCATTCCCCATGGCCTGCCGATATCTATTCCCGCGCCCCGGCTAGGGCCGGCCTCGTCACGTACCGCAGCGGGTACGGCATCGGTATCGGCAGGCACATCCGCGGCGGCGTCAGCGCCTGGCCTCGCGTCTGTTTCGGAGTCGCGGACTGGGTCAACGTCGCAGTGGGGGCCCCCTCGTTGGGTCCTCCGTTTTGGCGCCGCCGCTCAGGCAGCCAGCGGCCGTGCCCAGCAAAACCGCAGTGAGCGGAGCTCCGCTACTACTGCTGCTGCAGCCGGCAGCGGCGGCGGCGGCGGCGGTGGCGGCCCTGCTGCACGTCCCGTCGGCCGTGGATGGGTGCTTTGGTGGCCCGGGAGCGTCCCGCGCGCGCCTGCCGATGGCGGTGGCCGTGCGGCCGCCGCTGGCGCCCGGGGGGCAGCAGCAGCAGCAACAGCTGCTGCTGTACCTTCACCTTCACCGACACCGGCACCGCTGCTCACACATCCAGCGACCTGGCTGTCATGGCCCCTGCCGGGAGTGAGGCCTGGCCGTTACCCGTCGAGTCGTACTGCTGCTGGTAGTCGCGACGGCGGCGGAGGCGGCGGCGGCGGCGGCGGCGGCGGCGGCGGCAGCACATTCGCACATAGTGGTGCAGTCGTCGCTTCAGCGGTGGAAGGAAGCCGCGGCGGTCTGCAGTCTGCGGCGACATCGGCCGCTACAGGTACAGGCTCCACGAAGACTACGTCGTCAGCCACACAGCTCTCCGCTGCGGCTGCGGAGTCGTCGCGTCGCTCCGGGCCCTGGTTCCCGCCACCGCTAGGAGGTACGGCAGCGCAGCTTCGTCGGATGGCGACGGCACAGCCCGGAACTGGCGCCACGGCTTCGGTCGCAGTTGCCGCCGATGTGCAGCCCACCCGGGGTCGCGGCGGCGGCGGCGGCGGCGGCGGCGGTGGAGTCGCCGCTGCGGCGGCAGTGTCCCTGGCACAGCTACGATCGCAGCTCCTTCGCAGGTTGACGGCCGGCTCGGGCCGCGCGGCGCTCCCACTTCCGCCGAGGGTACTGTCCGACGGCTTGGAGCTTTGCAACGTCATGGTCGAGCCGGCAAGCAGAACTTGGGGCTCCGGCCGCAGCGGTAGCGGCGTCGCTATCGCCGCTAACGCTGCCGGGCAGCGGCACCTGCTGCCGCTGCGACGGCCGCGTGGTGGCAGCGGCGGCGCTCCGGCGCCGCCGCCGCCAGCCCAGCTAGAGCTGGTACCAGCGGCGCAGCTGTGGAGGGGCCGCTGCTATGGCAGCAGTCCTGCGGGAGGAGAAGCCCCGCAGTCGAGTACTGCTGCAGCCGCTCCCGCCCCCGCCCCCGCCGCCCCCGCAACAAATTCCGTTTCTGCGGCAGTAGCACCTGGCGTTCCGCCAGCCTCGCTGCTATTGGGACCTGGGGCGGCCGCCGCCGCGGCAGCTCGCCTCGCGGTGGGCGGCGCCGCGACGGCCGCGGTGGCGGCGACGGCGGCGCTGGGTGACATGCCTTTTTTTCACGGCGGCCCACGTGGGGCCGACCGCTCCGAGCTAGTGGGTGTGGCGCCGTTCGTGGCTGTACAGCGGATGGAGGAGGGGCTGCGGCGGCAGGTGCTGCAGCGAGGTCTGTGGTGGCGTGCGCTGCTAGGGGGAGTGGTGGGCGCCCTGCTGCGGCCCGTGGCGCTGGTGGGCATGCTTGGCCGCTTGCCCGGCTGGGGGCTGCAGGTGCGATTGTGGTGGGTTTAAGCTACACAAATAGGTTACACAAAATGTATGTATGTATATATGTATGTATGTATGTATGTATGTATGTATGTATGTCTATGTATGTCTATGTATGTCTATGTATGTCTATGTATGCGTAAAGACGTGGATGTGAACGATGGACGTGGATGTGGATGTGAACGATGTGGATTTGGGGTGGTATCGCCGGATGGTCTCCGTCGTCGCTATTGAACATGTTCTGATGCTGTCAGTCCTGAACTCCACAAACGTCACAAAATCCCGTCCTAACTTTCTAGCCGCGACACCCACCACAACTCACCACACCACACCACACCACACCACATCCCACTCCAGCAGTTGGCAACGTTGGACGTCGGTCGCCAGTTGTTCTTCCTTCTTCACTTTACATGTACCCACCAAAACTTCACCACCACACCACCAACAACAACATACTCATACCATATGCGATGTCCATTTCACGCCAGCGGCGGTCGCTCGCATATCTCACATCATCTCTAAATCCATCTAACACCGCATAACCCCCGCATAACCCCCACACCCCGCACCACGTGCAGGTCCTTCGTCGCGGCCATTCGGGTGCCGGCGGGCCCGTAATGTCCCACGGGTCGTCAGCCACATGCCATCATCGTCATCATCATCCGCTGGAGACGCAACCCGGAGGAGAGCGTCCTCCTTCTTCTCCAGCTCAAGCAGGGTCGGTTGCTGCAGCGCCTGGCGGCGGCAGCGGCGCCTCCACCACCGCCACCGCCTCCGCCAGCCCGCCTCCGCGTACCTCATCCTCTGACTGGGGCGTGCTGGTAGTAGTGGCGAGCTGCCGTGATCCGCTACGAGTGCTGCGCAGTCGCGACATGGAGGCGCTCCGAAACCGCGCAACCGAGGCGGCCTGCCCGCTGGTTCCCGTGCTGCTGACGTGCGCTGAGTCACCGCCGGGCCGTCGGGCAGCGGCGCTGCGAACATTGGCGGCTGCCTGCGGTGTATCGGTATCGGAGGTCCGGGTGGTGAGGCTAGACGCCGCGCTGCTGCACCAGCCGGCGGCCGCCATCCCGCGTGCTGACCTGGCGGCTGTCTGGCAGGGTACGGTGGACTGTGAGGGGGCGGTGCAGCTGCGGCAGGCGGTACGGCAGGCAGTACGGCAGGCGGTGATACCCGCCGGAACTCCCGGATCTTCTGTTGCAGAACTAAAATCTGTGCAGTAGCAGTAGCAGCAGCAGTAGCAGCCGTTGGGCAGCAGCCGCTGCAGGTGCAGCAGCACGAGTTGCACTTGTTGCGGTACTTCGGTGCTCGCGGCGGCGGGTGCACACATTCGAAGTTTGAAGTGGTGAACAGGCCAAAGGTTGTGGGGAAGGAGGGCGTCAGTGGGGGGTTGCATCGCTGTGGGGCTATGGTAACGGATTTCATTATGATTATTATTACTAGCAGCAGCAACAGCAGCAGCAGCAACAGTAGCAGCATCACCATCGAAGAATGGAAACGTGGGGGTAATTTCATTTATTCGTCCTGAAAGCCGCTGTGCCATTATGCGGATCATTCCATGCACAGAGCACATCACATCACACCATCCATCCATCCATCCATCCATCCATCCATCCATCCATCCATCCATCCAGGCACGCGCCCTGGCCTTTGGCGTCTCTCTCTCGATATACCTCCATGGCCTACTGATCCGTTGTCGATCCGCCGAAGTTCTCTATTGGCGTTGTGCGTTTCACGGCGCGGGGTGGCTGGCTGGCTCCATAGCTACACACACACACACACACACTCTCTCTCAGGAAGAGGGGATGTGGCGGCCTTCCAGCGACCCCCTAAGGCGCCAAGCAACCGTGTGCTGAGTGTGCTGAGTGTGGGGGTTCAGGGGCTCAGGGCTGTGGTGGTAGTGCGGCCCTCCCACAACCCCACCGCGGATCCAGGCCAGCAGCCACACATGGCCCCCTAAGGCATCGCAACCGGCTGCCCTGGTCGTTATCGTCGTCCGCTGGCGTCCCATTAATTCGCGCCGTCAGGGTTCATGTGTGTATGTATGTGTGTGGGGGGGGAAGGTGGCTGTGACACGTATCGCGTATGTTTTTAGATTTCATTCAATGATCCTGCTGAGGTCTGTCCGTAGGTATGTCTGTCTAGCTGCTCCTCCTGGAGTGCTGTACGGCGTGTACGGTATGTATGGTGTACGGTATCGACCATGGCATCTACTGAGCTCTGAGGCATCCGTCAGGAGTGATGAGATGTGTGTGTGTGTATTGGTTGGGGCGCACGTGCCTGTGCCTGTACGCGCATGCTTTTTTGTTTGCAAACGTGTGTTTGCACCGTTACATGCATACAGACATGCATACAGGCGTGCTGCACGACGCGCCAGTGCTGAATGGTTTTCATGTCTCTGTTCTTTGGGGATATACGCGACGAAGGAAGGAGTGCGCGAGTGAATGGCGTCCCTCAATGCGGCCGGCGGCGTGTTATTTCGCCTGAGCCGGCTCCGGAACCAGCCTGCGCTGTGTATTATTTATTTGGCGCCATGAGGTGATGGAGACTGTTTAGCGCTTTTTCAGGCTCTTTTCTACCTTTTTTTCTTATCCAGGGTGTGGTGGGCTTTAATACTTATTTCCATGCAAGGCCGCCTTTCGAAGAAAATAATGAGAGCGCGCGAGTGGGGGGAAGGTGGGGAGGCATTTATAGGAAGCAAGGAAGCAAGCAAGGAAGGATGCTCTGCTTTGTATGCGCTGCTTCCAGAGGGAGGGAAGAGGGGCGTTGAAAGGGGTTATGCGCTCAGAAACGCAGCGCAGCCGTCCTCCCCCCCCTTCCCGCCCCGCCCCGCCCTCCAACCCGACGTTGCGCCGTGGAGGTGATCTGTTTTCATATGTTTTGTCGTTGATAGTTGGGAGTTGTTAATAATGGCAATTGCGATTAGGACGAAGGAGGAGGACGAAGAGGAGGAGGGGGAAAAGGTAGTTTCAGCGAGGTAGGTTGTTGTAGAGTCTTGCGGCCGATGTCATGTGGTGAGCTGCGTATATGGAGTATAGGATGTAATGTCGTAGTGGCCGTTTAGTGGTAGCTGTGGTGTTGTGTAGAATGCAGACGACGGGAATATGCAGCTGCTGATGTTGTCGCGTATATGATAGGAGGTAGGAGATAATAGGAGATGAATTTGGTTGTGTGCTGCGCTCGTCTGTCAACGTCCATGTGCGCAAAGCATTTTGGGAAGAGCTGCGAAGAAGAGACTGTGAAGGGGAAACGAGGCGACAAAGTTTAAGAAATTAGCGGATAGGTGTCGATGCCAGAAGAAGTATTTCCGCGCACGCTTGGCTATCGGTGCCGGCCGATGTTTGTGTGTGTGTGCGGGGTGATGAAAGTTTTTTGCGATGCAGTAGTAGGGGTGGGGAAAGGAGGGCACAGAGCTGTAGTGGGTGGCTGGCTACATACGGCTCTGTTGTGTGTGTCTGTAAAGAAATCAAAACTGCTGTGTGTGTTTGTATGTGTGCGCAGCTGCCACCCGGGGACCTGATCTAAGCGGGCATTCCGGCCTGCTTCATAATTTCTCTTTAATCAGGAAGTCATTTCTCTTATTTCGTAATCTCTCGTCAGGAAAAAAAATAAATCCGAAGATGAGGTTGGGTCCAAATAACGTTCCTCCGGCACACCTGGTGTGATTTCTTTCAACATAGGTTGTAGTAGCTGTAGTTGGCATCTCTCTTCGCCATCTGACTCATTCAGCGGCACGTGTGAATACGTGCAAAGGACGCATTTGCGTGGTGCTGTACTCTTTTCCACTTGTAAAACAAAAACAAAACAAACTCGATGCTTCTGAGCAAAAAACCAACAACTCGTCCAACAACCCCACCGTGATCTCGTCAACCTGCATGGTATGATTTACACAGCACATAAAAACCACACTGTTCGAATAAAACGGTTAACGGCACAAGATCGGTTAAGAATTCGATTTTCCGCCCGCTTCCACCTCTTTTCCACTTTTGCCTTCCTCCAACTCCTACCAAGGACAACAAGGTTACTCCCGACATCATATCCACCCCCGATAAGCCCCTTTGCTTCCAAACGGTAACAGTTGGACCAACCAATCTGTGTGTATTTACCCAATCCTACATCTATCCGACAGATCCTAAGACAGTCCTCGTTAGAAAGTTAAACATAAAACATCGCACAAGATACCGGGTACATCCCCGAAACAGTTCAGCGGGACTGGGCACAATCAACTTGGTCAAACTCTGCCCTGCAAATTGGCTCGCACGAGTACTGGGCGCACACGCCGTTTTCGGAGATGCATGGATAACAGAAACCAAATCAAACGCGACCTCCATTTCCCATCCTCCTCCCCCACCCTACACGCCACTTCACCCCAAAAGCACCCCCGCCCCCGCACTCGACAGCCAACCACCACACCGTCTAGGAGCTCAATCGTCAAACGACATCTTCTTGCCGCTACCGGCGCTCGTGTCGATCCTCATGCCACCGCCGCGGCCACCGCCGCGGCCGCCGCCCCTGCCGCCGTCGCGGCCTCTCCCCCGGCCCCTACCACCGTCGCGACCGCCAAACCCGCCACGGCCCCTGCCGCCGTCGCGGCCACCGAAGCCGCCGCGGCCGCCGCCACGGCCGCCAAAACCGCCGCGGCCACCGTCCCTGCCGCCGCCACGACCGCCCGCATTGTCGCGCCGGGCCACATTCGTATCCACCTTGAGGTAACCACCAGCCGCCTCGGACCCGTCGAGCTCCCCAGCCGCGGTCTGCACATATGTCGTGTTCCGGGCATTCGAACCAAGGATACAATTTTACATATTTGAAAAACGACGGTTTTGGGAAAGTTTCATTTGTCACGTCATAGCCGTAAGGAAACATACGAAGGAAATATACCCATTTCGTATTCTCAATTGGCGTGATGAAAGCGGACGTCCCAGCCCGGCACACACACAACACACACGTGCACGCGCACCCTGAACAACCTCACCTTGGCTTCAGTCGAGTCGAACTCAATATACGCAAAACCCTTCAAGGTGCCAGCTTCGCGATCAGACGGCAAGCGAATGCTCTTAATCCCGCCGCAACCGCCAAAGACCTCCTCCAAGGCGGACCGAATCTCATCCTCTGAGCCGTAGTTGACGTCAAAGCCTTTGATAAAGACCGTCGTGCCGTCGACGTCGCCGCCACCACCGCGGCCGCCCCCGCCAAAGCTGTCCCTGCGATGTTCGTTTCATGGTCGAGATGATACCACACCATCAGCAACGAAACAAAGCCGACGACAAAGAAAAGGTTTATCGATATGCCACGGCGATATACAAGAGGCCTTCCCCAACCAGCATATCCCGGCACGCACGTACATCGTTACACGAAGACATCATCCCCCCCACTCACCTCTGGGGCCGTGGCTGCGTGACCTCCACCTTGATGGCTCGGCCGTCAATCTCCGTGCCGGCTTTGGAGACGGCCTTCTTAGCCTGAGCGGCATCTCCAAATTCCACATGCGCAAAGCCCCTAGAACGACCCGTCTCCGGATCAACACCCATCCGTACATTCACAATCTGCAGACGAACGAAACAGACAAGGAAGCAGGAGAAATGATGTGAAAAGGCACTTCGCCGCAAAAACGAAGAGCAGGGAATCGCAGAGTAATTACCAGCACATTACGCTCCACACTGTAATAGTGGAGCTCAGAAAATCTTTTCCCAATTCCGCCAACGCCTCTTCCCGATGATGATATTCTTTATTTAAAATTCCAGCTGCAAGAGCCCCTAAAATTTGAGAGCCATCTCCTCCTGTCAGAGGCACTGAGGCATATCCTCCAACTCACAAACAACACTCTTCAAGCACAAACCTTGCCGCAGTCCTTGAAGTGCTTCCGTACGTCGTCCTCGGTGGCCTTCCAGCTCAGGTTGCCAACGAACACTCGGGTGCTGTCCGTGCCGCCATTAGTGGCGGCCGCGTTGCCCTCCACGTCGAGCCGCTGCTTTTTCTTGGCGGGCGCGGGCTCCGCCTCCTTTTCCTCTTCCTCCTCCTCATCATCATCGTCGTCTTCCTCATCGGCCTTGCGCTTGCCGGCAGAGGCCGGAGTGGCCTTCTTGGCATCAGCCATTTTCGCATCGCCCTCATCGTCGTCATCGCTATCCTCGTCATCATCTGCAAAAGAGGATCACGGCGGGGCGTTGATCTTGCAGCGGTTTGCTTGCTTGGTACACAAATACCCCCCCCGTGCATGTTGCACAGCGTTCTCAACATGTGCCGATATGCATCGCCAGTTGCAGTCCTCACCGTCATCGCTATCGTCATCTGAATCCTTAGCGGCCTTCTTGGCCGGTGGAGCGGCTGCGGCCTTTTTAGCGGGAGCCGCGGCGGCGGCTCCCTTCTTCTTCGGCGGTTCATCTTCACTGTCGTCCTCTGCAATACAGGAAAGGCAACATAAAAATATTACAAAGGTGCGTGGACTGAAATATCAACACCCATCGAAGCCAAAATACTGAATTCACCACTCTTAACGGATCAGTGATACGGCACACATGCACGGCATACGTATGTTGTTACGTAAGGGTACGTAAAGCACCGCTGCAAAATGGGATTTCAGTATCAATTCCAAAAGTTGGAGCTCTACATATCATCAACCAAACTTACACTGCAATTTCAATCCACTTACCATCGTCGTCAGAGTCGTCGTCATCATCGGACGATTCCTGAAGAGGCAACATCATCACAACAAGTTCAGGACAAGATCATTTACTAACAGTCCTTTGGCATCCAAAAGAGGATCCAAAAACCCGCCTCTAGTGAGTCTGCCCAACACTCTTACCTCCTTCTTAGCGGGTGCCTTCTTAGCAGCAGCCGGAGCAGCCGCCGGCTTGCCCTTCTTTGCCGGCGGTTCCTCATCGCTATCATCATCATCGTCCTCGCTGTCATCATCCTCATCGCTCTCCGTCTCCACCTGTGCACATCACAACACACAACACCACGCACGCACACACGGAATACAAATGCTGATGTTGGGTCCTATTAAATTTAAATTAGGGCTAGAGTTCTCGTTCTCGCTCACCAACTCGGTTTCAGGTAGTCCGCACGTCGACATTAATAAAACAGCCCTCCCTCACCACTGCCCCGGCGGCAAGTGACCATCTATTTCTAGGCCTAACTATTATACTAAAAAGACTTTCCATAAACCATTCATATAAATTTATACATAATCTATTTCATGATCCTCAATCGGACTACCCTGCCAAGGACCATGCTTGCGGGTATGTGTAAAGAGACAAGAGACCATACCCAGCCTACACACAACATACACAAAGTACATGCGTGCCAGCCCATCCAAGGAAAAAATAAACCAATAATTCCCCATTCGAGTTTTAGAATTCCGATTTTGGTTTGGACATTAACATTGTTACTCCCGACTACTTGTCGGGGTTCATGGACCAAATCACCACACCTTCTTGGGTGTCGGCTTTGTAGGGGGGGCGGCAGTCTTGGCCTTGTTTGCCGCCGCCGGCTTGCCCTTCTTTGCCGGGGGCTCGTCATCACTGTCATCGTCATCACTGTCATCGTCATCGCTGTCACTTACAGCGGGCTACAGCAACCACATGCATCCACAAGTACATACGTACATACATACACGGGCGGAGCGTTATACGGGAAATGAACACATGCAGGGGTGCCCAGGCAATAGCCGGGGGGGGGCTCAAGGGCTGCCAAATCGCCTATAAGCACCATCCTACCTCGCACTTCCAACGAGACAAGTGTTGAAGTATACTAACGACCAAATGGAACGATAGAGTTGCGGTGAGACCTGGCATGTGGCAGCTTGCGCGCCTAGCAACCAGGGGCCGAGTGAGGTGGGGAGAACTCTGCTCCACTCGTGAATACAGTCTGGAGGTGTAGCTCTAGATGTATTATAAAGGGGAATTAGTTCGTCGAGAATGTGCAGAGCGGTAGCACATTTGATGAGCGAGAGGGGTTACGACATACCTTGACCTTTTTGGCAGGCGCCGCCGCCTTCTTAGGCGGCTCGTCGTCACTGTCGTCATCGTCGTCGCTATCATCGGAATCCTTGACCTTCTTCGCTGGGGCCTGCTGGGTTGCGATAAACGCAACGATGAAGGATGGTCACGGGGCTTCATTTGTCGAATATCACCGGTCTAATCGAACCTCCAAGGTGGGAAGCCCCTTCCCAAAGCAAGGAGTGTCTTTATTAAATGAAAGGGTAGAATTTAATAGCCAAAGAAATGCAGGAACAAACTGAATGGGTGTGCAAGGTTGCACGAAGCAAAGCAACGACATGTTTAATAATTAGAAGCTAAGCATGAACTCCTAATTGCCTGCCATTCAAGGAGTGTCCTGTGCGTAATTTGCACGAAAAAAAGGAAAATTGACAACGCTAATGCCACAGCCTTCACACCCCCATCCACACCTTCGCGGGCACCGCAGCCTTCTTCACTGGCGCCGGAGCCTCGTCGGAGTCATCAGAATCGTCAGAGTCATCGTCTGATGAATCAGATGGCTCGGGAACCTGTTGAACCGTAACGGGGGCAAGGGCGGCCGCCGTCACCGTCACCGCCGCCGGCTCGACACACAAAACAACTCCATGAACTCGCCGATACATCAAAGCGACGGTCACCTTCTTCTTTTCGAGCTTTGTCGCCGCTTGCTTGGCCTTCAGCTCCTTTCCGGACGCCTGCTAGTGCGGGATTCAACACTCCCGTAACGAAACTGTCGACCGCCGCCGGCAACTTTATCATGCACAAGGCACTATGCCTTTTGCGCACCTTTACTACTTGCTTGCCCATATTTGGTGAACGCTTAGTAAGTTCTCAGAGAGCAAGCCCTCAAGACCTTGAAGCGCGAGCGGTAACAGGACAACCAACGACAATTCCTTAATTAGATCAGAAAGACAGCTTGACAACAATTACTAAAGTGGAGAAGGAAGGGCTACTGAAGAAGCCTTTGTGTAAGTTGATTCCACGGCAATTCGTACCGATTCCAAACATCCCGCCGCCCTGGGAAAACTGCATAGGCCGTTGCAATTAACAGCTTTGATCGTTGCGTTGCTTCCGTCTTTCGAGTTGGACCTGGCCATGGTTTGCCTTTTGTGCTAACTTGCAATTCTCGACGACGACGACAACCAACACTGACGAGCTTGCAGTTATAGTTTATTCGTGATCCCTCTGACCATTTTCGCATAACCCATTTAGGTCAATAGGCGTGTGGGTCAAGAGTTCGCGCGACGCAGCATACGTCAGCACATAATGGCGATGCGGAAAGCGAAGGTTTTTGCCGGAATCATCGTTTTGATTCTCCTTCCGATTGTTGTTCACGGCATCAGGTAGGGTATGCCTTCGAATGGCCCGTTAGATCCGCTGGCGAAGCTCTTCCTTGTCCGATAATGATTGCAGTTCAACGACCTTTTGAATGCCTCGCACCAGCAATACAGCCGCACAGCCCCTTATCCACATCCAACATTTTCATCATTCCATTCAGCCAAAAAGAACCTGCCTCGACGGCTTCTGTCCGCCTCACCGCTGTGCTGCGTGGCGATGGTCACGTTCAATCCCATCTCAGTCCTAACCACACTTCCCCACCGCATGCACGGAGGCCCACGCACTCTGGAACCCCGCGTAGCCATTCATTCCTGAAAGGTCTGGCAACCCGCGGCTTTTACTCTCCTGTGAACATTTTCCAGTCCTTACTGCACGTCATGTCTTCTGTCCTCAGGCCGGCACTGCAAAGCGGAGGAGGCCAAATATTGGAACAGCAGCAAACCGTTGCTACTGCAGTTGGTGCCCATCCCCGCCATCCGCGTCCCAGCAATGAAGCCAACTTGAGACCCATCATTGGAATCCTCTCCCAGGTGCGTTGGGCGTGGGGGCGAGAGGGATCTGGGTTCTATGCCGCCGCCTGGGTGGGTGCCTGGTTGGGCCCGTCAAACAGGGGGGTAAAAGAACTAGGCGCGGGTCGGCATTGGTTGGGTGTGGGGACCCGCCAAAAGAAAGGCCGGGGAAGAACTAGGTGCGGAAGAGCGACGTGGGATGGTGAGGGGAATGACACGCGGGGGGAGAGGGACGTTGCAAATCCAAAGGATGAGTGGTTTTTTTCACATCCCCGCCTCCCTCCGGTATCCCCCTGACGTTTTCCCGCTTGGCCACTTTGGCGTTTCCCGGACGTGATGTGTTTCGGCACGCGTACGTACAGCCTGGCGATCCGGCTCCGGAGGGTGAGTCGTACATTGCGGCGTCGTACGTCAAGTGGCTGGAGTCTGCGGGTGCTCGTGTGGTGCCCATCTTTTACGACATGGACGCCCAGGACATTGAGCGTCGGTAGGTAGAGGAGCGGTTTTAATTTCGAGTGAAGGTTTTGAGGTTTTAAGGTGGTGGCGTTTTACGGTTTTACGGTTTTAGGTCGTTAGCTTGTCTTGTAACTTTTTGCATTAAATTTTCTTGTTGTGGCGTCCCTCCTTTCGTGACTCATTGGTCGGGGAACCGCTTTGGTGGTGTGGCGTCCCCTACCCCTCTACCCTCCACCAGCGCCATAAGATACACATACATACATACATACATACATGAGGGACGGAGGTGTGTGTGTGTGTCCTTGCAGTCCGTATACCTTCTGCTGCCCCTACATTTTCCCCTCTACCTTCCTTCCGTCCTGCTTTCCATGTATGTCTATATGTATGTATGTATATATGCATATATATGTAACTAACCAAACCCGTTATCTCTCTGTCGTAGGTTTGCCGTGATTAACGGTTTGCTGCTACCCGGGGGAGGAGCCACCCTGGAGCCCGGTCACCGCTTTTACGACACGGCCAGGTACCTTGTCGAGCTGGCCTTGAAGGCCAATGACAACGGAGACTACTTTCCGGTATGTCTGTATGTATATGTGTGTGTGGCGGATGAGAAGAGGGGGGGGATCCCATGCAAAGAAACAAGGAAAGCGGGGGAGGAGGGGGGGCCTCGCAGCAGATAGAGGACAGCAATGCGAGGAGTATGAGAGGGCCCCGGGGGGTCGTCGTTGGGCAGGAAGGGGGGAAAAGGGGGGGTGGCCGGGACATGGGACGTCGTATGCGGGTGTTGTTGGCAGCTGACTGGGTGTTTGAGAAGGGGGAAAAGGCGAACCAGAAGCGAGTGAAGCTGATGCCAAGGAAAGACTGCTGCGGCAGATTTGGGGGGAAAGCGGAGAGAGCTCGGAGACACACATCTGGTCATTATTGTGGTGAACACCACCACCAACACGATCCACACGACCTGCGACCTGCGCGCAGAGGCGAGACGTGATTTGCCTTTGTGTTACTCCTACAGAACCACTCACCTATTTCCCACCACCAACACGACCACGACGACGGCAGTCAACTCACCCCTCTCCGCCTCTCTCCCCCCACTCGCGGGGTTCGTGCTTCGTCTTTCCCCCTCTCCCACACCCCCACACCCCCACATTAGGTCCACGGCACGTGTCTGGGTATGGAGACCCTGTCTGTCATCATCTCCTCCAACTACACCCTCCTGGGGGAGTTCGACGCGGAGGACGCCCCCGCTCCGCTGCTGTACACCAACGAGGCGGCTGCCTCGCACCTGCTGCGGTCGCTGCCGCCGGACGTGGTGACAGACTTACAGAACAAACCCATTGCCATGGAAAACCACATGAACGGTGGGGGTGAGGGGGGCGACGGTCACAGCTTTGTGGCCGG